CGCCAAGCTCTTCCCAAATCCTTTGTGAGCCCCTGCTGCACTTATGGATCTGCATGCATATCACCCCACAGTGTTATTAGTTAAGGCTTCAATGATCTTGCTAGGATTGAACTCACGGCTGCCTCTGATCTGCAACGTGATTTCTCGACATATCGCTTCTGCTGAGAGACTGAAGATCTCCATCGATGTCATAAAGTCCATCACCTCAGGTCAATGCGAACTCCCACGGCCGGACTACACGGGCTGTGAAGCACCACATGCTGTTGCCGCATGAAATATTCTCGACGCTGCACACATCTGGGAAATCACATTTGCTGTACCAGGACAAGGACTCGGTGGCTGGGCTAAAGGATTTGAGTTTCAACTTGTGTAAACCTGCATGTATAATGAATCTGGACGCCAAGATTCGATCATACTGGGCCATTCAAGATCAGAGCTGGATCCAGAGTCATCCCGTCCTCAGTGTTCCATGTCGGCATCAGGTCTGCATCGATCTGCACTGTGGTTGAATGGTCGCTACATGCACTTATAAAATTGTGAGGCTGTTGAAGATCTCGGCACATGTGTGCCGCTCAGACTCTACGGCGATGGTGCAGAGTTTACAAGCCGCTTGGTATTCCCAGTACATGTCACGAACCGAATGCACCATAGTTTTCGATTATGGGCAGCTAAGAAAAGCAGAAGTTCGAGCTGTTCGTGCTACAAGCACCGCTTGGTGTGGCCAGCACAATGGATTCACGATTCTTGTTTCTTGGCGAGAACAATGTGCAATGTCACTCCCCTACACATAAAGTGTGACGGCTTGGGTCAATTAAGGTTGTCGTGCATCAATATGTGTTATCATGACGACGATGCACGCTATGCAATCCTGGAGGTGTTGGCTTGGTCGCTTGAGGCCATGGGCAGCTCGGCACATTATTTATAAAGACCGCTCCTCCATTTTTTCAATTGAGATCAGCAATGTTACAATCCCTATGTACAAAGCCCCCTTAGCGCTATAAATCCTGAACCCCATTACTACCGACAAACCGTAAAACCCCCAAACCCTATAATATATGTCCTGGCCAAACCAACTATAAATGCAAGGCTCGGGTCGACATCCGGATCGGGATCCCTACGGCCGCCTATTCAGTGATTCCTATTTCCCGGATCGCTTGAAACTCGCGAACACGCCCTTGACTGCTGACAACATGCGAGGAATTTTCGACGGCCTGCAGGCTGATCAGGAGTTCATCAAAAAGATCCTCTACCTCCAACGTGTCCCGGCCTATATGCCGCTGTTATTTGAGATTCAATATATGTGCTAATAATATGCCACTTATAAGATGAAATAAGTTCTATGTATATACGGGCAACACATGGCCCACGCAGGTGATTATTCTCGCAAGATGGTATGTTTCTACTGCAATGCTCTTCAATGGATCTACACTGGTCCGGATCCCGATGGCCTTCCCAACGACCCAGCCCTTCTGTATACGAGCTTCGGAGAGCAGGCACGTCACCGGGCAACGTTCCTCAACTTACCAGATCACATATATATATATATATATTTTGAATAGATATCTCGTTTATAATCCGATAACCCCGAAAACCATAATTTAAGGACGACCCGGTTTGTGAAGCAAAGGCTCGTCAGTGGAGGAGCCGAAGAGTTCGAGTCCATCCACGGCTCATCGCCGCTGACCAGGATTAGCGGTTTCTGCCCGTACCGCAACTTGAACCATGCTAGCATTATTGTTGTACCGGTCTTCAATTATTTGTTATACCATGCGGTCCATTGCACACAACCAAGCCTTAAGCTTGTAATTGGAACCTCCAACTTTCTACGTTAAAGATAGACTGCTAGACCGAAAGAAACTGGGCATCGCTTGGTATAGGTGATTCTGGGACAAGATGTCTTAAGTTACCGTCCCCCCTCGAGCATGCAGGTATATATCCTGACGTCATGCACATCCTGCACTTAGCAATATATCCGGATGTACTGGTCAGCCTTTTGTGTGACCTGACGGACGATGTGAGAAATCGCGAGGCTGAGCTGGGCATGCTGTGGGACAATTACAAGGGTTGGTGCGATTCACAAGCTGTAGCAGACCGGGCTTCTCGCAAATTATTCTCATCGTCTATCCTGAAGCCCGCTGCGCGAGAATATGCCACCATCTCTCAAAAGTTATGCAGCGCCACCGCAGCCAGATATGTGATCTTCTGGATGGCACATATGATGTCTGCACTCTTGCAGCAGTACTCAAGCAGCTCACGCAAAGAGTTCTACGAGAGCCTTATACGCAAATTTCAGGATTTCTTTTTATCTACTACACAACACGATGTGTAAACCGTATCCTATGATTTAGAGGGACAGGTATATACAGGAAGAAAGTGTTGTAAGTTGGGCTATATTACAGGGAATTCCTAAACTGTGAAGGATCCGTGCTGCTGTGGTTATGGCTCTCGCCAGCATGGAGCACATCATGCTGGAAGAAGGTCGTGCCATGAGCAGTGCTGGTGTCGAGAACATGAAGCGGGCAAATCTTGTATATAGAGCGAGTTACAACTTTCTATCCGAGGAAGCTCTATGCAAGGGGCGCTGCAGATGGGCGATTCGCCCAAAGATGCATTATCTGGAGCATCTCATATATGAGTTTCAACCATTGAATGGACGATTCTACCACAATTATCAAAACGAGGATGCTGTGCGTCGCATGAAGATGATTGCTGCTGGTTCTCACGCTGCTTATTTATCCCGACATGTATGTCTGAAATACAGCATCCAAGTCTGCTTGCGCTGGCGATGAAAAGTCGTTCCACAGACAGCGGTATAACTGGTAACTTTCCACTATATGGGCTATTAGACCTTATAGGGTACCTTAATCTACCCTTAATAGGGTCCTATTATATATAGGGATCTTTAGGGTCTAATAGCCCATATAGTGGATTCTTGCTACCGAGTAATCCCGAAAATCCGAAGCCCTGTACACCCCAAAGCCTTTATCAACTGTGAAATGAATCCCCAAAAGCCGAAGCCTTGAAACCAGAACCCCCGACGCCAAAGCCCTAAACCCAAGAACCTACTGAATCGAAACCGCAAGGCCCACAACCCGGAAGCCCAAACCTTAAACCTCGAAACCCTTGACCCCAAAAGCCCACACCCACGAACCTGCTCGTAGAAAAGCCCTGAAGCCCAAACCATAAACCCAACCCCCCAAACCCTCAACTCCAAAAACCTAAACCCACTTATAATATAACCTGCTCGTGCATGGCCCGCAGTGCGCAACCCTCACGCCCAAACCTTGAACCCGCAAACCCTCTACCTAAAAAACCTAAACCCACGAATCACCCAAACCCACCCCCAAAAGCCTAAACCCACAAACAGACCTCGAACCGCATGCCTCGCTTGCATGTCCGGGTATGAGCTATTATGCCAAACCCCTATAAACCCACGAATTAAAATTCCCAAACCATCACAAGAGCCCAAACCCACGAACCTACGGAATCGAGTGCTGCGGTGTGTGTGTGTGTGTGTGCTGTGGTGTGGTGTGGTGTGGTGTGGTGTGGTGTGGTGTGGTGTGGTGTGGTGTGGTGTGGTGTGGTGTGGTGTGGTGTGGTTGTGTGTGTGTGTGTGTGCGCACGTGTGTGTGTGTGTGTGTGTCGGTGTGGGGCGTTGTTGGTGTTGTTTTTGCTGTTGCTGTTCTTGTTGTTGTTTGTGGTGGTGATGGTGGTGGTGGTGGTGTTGGCGGTGCCAGTGCTGGTGATTTTTTGATGTATATGGTGTCGTTCTTGACGATATCGATCACGGATCCGAATATTCTGCAAAGATTCCAACGCCTATCTCAAGTTTTCTTCCAGGTATCGCCCGTGCGATGATGGTAGCTGAGCATGTTTATAACACCGCAAATCACGATTATGAGATCGAATAAGCTGTCCCACCTTATAAGACTTGTTAGGCCTTATGTATAAGGTCGAACAGCCCGTGCTGGTATGTCCTCGAGATCGTCGCCCAGGTTCTGGCGCTGGTCACATTGTCCCGTCGGTTGCCCCAGAGGTGGCTGGCCTTCATCGACAACGTCGCCGGCCAATGGGCACTCACCAAGGGGTACGGGAAGGACCCCGCCGTCAACGGCGTCTTGGCGGCCTTTTGGTCCACGGCGGCTCTGTCGGAATGGCTTCCCGACTTCCGTCGGGTGCCGTCCAAAGCCAACGTCTCCGACGCAGTGTCGAGAGGAGACCTTCACACGGCGGAAAGTTCCGGCTGGGAGCGGGTGCACACACCCGTCGAGTCGATCCTCAACGTGCTCTCCCGGGCCGCCGCCGACCTGGACTTTGCGGTTAACGACGCCGCCGACGAGTTACTAAATCTTGCGGTGTGAGCGGGCTAAGCCGGCGCAGAGTGGGTGAGGGGAGCGCCGGGCGGCAGCTAAAAGCGTCCCCCGGCGCCGGCTTGCCTAGTACTGGCGATTGCGACGGACCCGGCGCGAATGCGCTTCAATCCATCCAAAAGAAGGGTTTCGTCCGTCGTAGCTCTTTTGGGTACCCGTCGGGGAAAACGGTTGTCGCGTAGCACATTCATGTGCGTAGGGACAACCGTCGAATCGACGTGGATGCCGAAGCTGCTGCTGGCTCCACGTCCCCCGACGATTTTTCAGCTCCCACCCTCACCGCCCTATATTGTTTTTACTTTGAGACCTTCGGGTCGTCGCTCGCTGGCGGGCAGCGGGCCGGGGCAGCTAAAAGCGTCCCCCGGCGCCGGCTTGCCTAGTACTGGCAGTACTGGCGATTGCGACGGACCCGGCGCGAATGCGCTTCAATTCATCCAAAAGAAGGGTTTCGTCCGTCGTAGCTCTTTTGGGTACCCGTCGGGGAAAACGGTTGTCGAGCAGTTGGCTGCCATGCAGCTGTCTTGCTGTCGGGTCACCGGGCACCTCAGTAATTCTCAGTAGCTGTCACCGACTCCGCTGCTTCGGTCCGTGAAGCTTTCGTGCTGTTCCATCAGACGATGGACTGCCAAGGCTGTAGCAAGCAAGCAAATCGTCTTCTTGGTGGTCCCGCACCGGACTTAGATATCCTCGCACCTGAGCCGGCCGACTGTGTGCAAGTGCAAGTCCAAAGGACAAGAAGAAGGCCAAGAAGGTCCGCGTGCACAAAGCCGCTGTTGACTTCTTTACAAAGTAAGCTGCCAGGAGAGCAATCAGAAGCAAAAGAAGACCCAGCAGGCGGCCTCGGCGCCAGAGGCAGACGTGGCCTCAACGCCTTCGCGCACCATCTTATCTTATCCTTCATTCATTCACGGCTGATGATCTGTGAGCGTCAGGCTGGCACGTCTGGTGCACAGCCAGCCAGCTCGGTGTCTGTCCGATGCTTATAGGTACCTGCTCGAAGTGGTCGGGTGAGACACGAACGCAAAGACTGGTTGCCCAGGTTGCTCTCTACGAAGCGAACGAAGAGAAGGTGGCGGTGGGGACACCTGTGGCTGAGGCATTCCTGCAGTGTTGGCGGATCTATACGGTCGGCATACGGAAACACCTCTGGGCATTGCTGTGCTGCACAGGCCCTACGCCGCGCATCCCACGTGGTGATAGAGGCAGTGGGCATGAGGTGCCGAGCAAGAATTCAGGGTCAATCCCATGTGGAATCAGGGCGAGCGGGTGCCAATCAGTGTCAACCCACCGTCAGTGCAGAAGCTGGAGGCACTTGCACCGTGATGCATGAGCCCCCACCAGCTGCTCCAAACACGACACACGCACACAAGATCACAGATATTGCCACGCTCGTATGTTCTTCTGTGCTGCAACTTGGATTTCTCGCGCCCGAAGCCTTGAGTCGCCTTCCGTTTAGCTGTGCTCGAGTCGGGGTTGAAGAGAGAGAGCGCACGCGGCCTCCGGCGCGCTGCCGGGCCGGTAGAAGCGGGACAGGCGGAAGGCGGAGGCTGGGCGATCCCGTGGCGTTCACCACCGACTCCAAAATCTTTCGTCAGAAGCCTCAGGTGATGGCGGGGGATGTGCCGAAGCCTGAGAGCGGTCTCGCAGACGAAACGAATTCCGAATGCGCCTGTGCTCTCTGCGGGACACGGCTGAGGGCCAGTTCCGAGATCGCCTCCGAGGCCCCACCGGGTAGATGCAGAGTGGGTGCCTTGTGGGTGCCTTGTGGTGCCCCTTGTGCTCCTTGTGCGGCCTTTGCAGGAGCCTCACGGCAGTGGCTTCGAGGTGCCTTCCCATCTGCCGCACCCTGAGAAGTTGAGTTACATCTGCCGTGCAGCTTTCTTTTCCGCTTCCCAGGGTGGCAGTCCAGAGACTGGGCAGCGGAGCGTACGGTGAGGCGGCGCACCCTGCGGCTTCTCGGCCAAGCGCGGGTCGGTAGTCCCGCGCGCAGGTGTACCTCTGCGAGGATACCACCAACGGGTCGCAGGCCGTACCAGTACAGTGTAGTTTCCCACGACGGCCGACGACCAAATCTCCTGGAGGTTGCAGTGAAATGGATCCGGAATTTCACGAAGGACCATTCAACAAGCCTGTGTCTGCGGATGAACGGAAATTTCCTGCGGCGCACTCAAGGACCCTCTCTGCGGCAAAAGGATATTGCGCGAGCCGCCAGCTGAGAAGTGCAAGAACAATCTTCAGAGACTGTTGACTCAGCCTGTTTGATTGATCGAGGATTCGGCTGCTTGCTGCCTTGCGCCACGAGAACCTCTTGAAGGATCCGCTTCCAATGTGAACTAGCCAGAGCAATTCGGTGGGTGGGGTGCGAGGATGATCTATAGGCTTGCAGTGCTTGCCAGTTGACGGATCTGTTGCCCGTGCCAAATCCCGACTTCGACGATGTCTACATCGTCATGTCCGGCTCTGAAACACAACAGCATCACGACAGCCTCTACTGACGGCAGACTGACTGTGTAGAGGCCGTACCTACACCTCGATCTACATCGTGCAGGGGACCGAGAGATAGAGGGCGTTTTGAGTGGCATTGACCTGTTTTGAAGGACGCTCCGAATAAATCCTGAAAGTGAGTGTGGGGAAACAAACTTATAGTAGGCTGAACCGGCGGGCCGGCACACGAGCTGGTCGTCGATCAAGGAACGACATGGATGGACCCAGACTCGTCCATCAAATTTCTCCTTTTGGAGCAGGAGACGCTTGTGCGAAGAATGGAAGCTTGACGCCAGCTTTGTAGGTTGGCATCCAATCGGCCCAGAAAGCAAGGAGCAACAGGTTTCGCAAGTTCTGCCACGTTGATGTCCAGCATAGCTTTTGTTGCCAGCCCCGCCGCTTCTGCGACCTGTTCCAATTCAGGGGAGGTCCACCTTGTCAACCTAGGTAATCTACTCCAAGATGAAGCTGTCGGAATCGCACACGCAGGCCAGTGATGTCAGCTTTCTCGCCGGCAGAGACGGTGCTGAGCGGTGAGGCTTTCGTTTGCCAGATTCTGCGCGGGCTGAAGGAGAGCCGTCAAGTCTTCGTTATGTAGCTAATGGCGGTAAAGCACGTATGTGCGCGAACGGATGAAAACGAAGCCTTGTTTGGAGTACCTGCATTCCGCCGGAGTTGCACATCGCGACTTGAAGCCGAGCAACATCCTTGTGAACAAGGAGTCTGTGGAACACAGCAAGGGAAGAGAGTCAGACTCTGATGCGACTGATCTGCAGGACTGCGCTCTGAGAATAGCAGACTTTGGCCTTGCTCGAGGGCGTTCGAACTCAGAGGCGGTCGTCACTCCACATGGGCTCATGTGCTTTGCTGCTCTGCTCTGACAGAAGACTCGCAGATCTGCTCTTGCAGGAAGAGCTCACAGATTATGTCGTGACTCGATGGTACAGGGCACCAGAGCTGATGCTTCGATCCTCAGTCACGGCATGGCAATTCCCAGCTCGAAAGCCTGTCATGCAGCGATGTGTCGTCTGCGTAAGGTTGTTGCCTTCAGGATACTTCGAGGCGGCTTTCTCTGAACTGAACAACGCGCTCAGCAAGCGTGCAAGTAGTGCAACTGTAGACAGCGAGCCTCAAGAAATAACCTCTGGCCGATTGCCGTACAGGCGGTGGATCTGTGGTCCGTGGGCTGCATTCACTTTGAACTCATGGCCCGTGAGGCAAGCGGCCGCTCTGCGTTCATGCTCTGGCGGGTTTTGAACCTGAGCCGCTAAAGCCGGAGGTGCTCTTCCCCGGGAAAGACCACCTGGATATGCTCAGACGCATAGCTGCCACGCTGGGGCGACTCGCTGCGCGTATTGCCTTAGAGCACGTTGGTGCCTTCGACTTGAGAACTCGGTTGTTGTCGGAGACGGCCGTATCGGCAGAATTACGTCATCCTTACCCGAGCTCTGTGTTAAGCCTCGGGCTCGCGCCGAGGTCCGAGTCCCGCCGCTTTCAAACGTTTTTAGGTTTTTGGATTCTGCGGTTTAGGATCGATTTAGAGTTTTGCTTCGGGACTCCAGGCTTCGGGGTGGTGACGGGAGGGCCAACGTTTCTTGCGAAGGCGAGGGCCTGACGGGGCAGAGTGTACCAGAGGCTTAGGACCTGAGCAGGGTAGACTCGCAAAATCAGTGGCTTCTCCGCGGGTAGTCATGCTAGTCACTGATGCTGCCAACCTGTGGTTTCCCTACATATCTGCCCGCCAAGCCTCGTCGAACCTGCCCAAGCCAGATTTTCCATCGAACACGACCTCCACTGGGTGCCGGAGAAGGAAACAAAGCAGGCCGGGAGCTCCTTGTGAGTTCGCGTCAGGCCTCGTGAGGCCTCGTGGGCACGTTCCGCAGGTCCATGGCATGGTCAAGACGCTCAAGTTGCCAGAGGAACCGAAGGCATCCTCTTCCTTGGAGGAGAACCGCTGACTCCTGCTTGAGAGAGTAGAGAGATTCCGCTTGGGAGGAGCGCTTGCCGCAGGCTTCCGAGGTTGGATGCAACCGGAGCATGATCGATTTTTTCGTGTACAGCGGTCTCCAGTTGTACTCACTTGCAAGGCTTTCTCTTTCTCTCTCTCTCTCTCTCTCCCTCCCTCTCTCTCTCTCTCTCTCTCTCTCTCTCTCTCTCTCTCTCTCTCTCTCTCTCTCCCTCTCCCTCCGCCACTATTTCTCTCGGCAGGTTTGCTTAGATCTTTTGCACAAATTCTTGGACAAGATCCCAACACGACGGATCTCTGCGTCAGCTGCTGAGAGGGACAGAGCCACCTAGAGCCGGGCTGCAGACAACAGCAGCCACCCGCAACAGAAGTCCGGCTGATTGACATTACATTCATTGAGGTCGGATGCGCTCGACCATGCGTGCGCCAGATGGGCTGCGGTGATGGCTGTTGCGGTGCGTTGGTTGTTGGGCGGCCGAACGCCCTCCGGCACGGGGCCAGGTTGGCGGTGTTCAGGGTATACCAAGAAGTGCAGAAGAGTCTGGCAAACGGAGACGGTTTGCCCAGACACTGTGCGGCCGTGGATTGCGGTCGATTCAAATTCAGGGTTTGGGGAACGCCGCGCTGCGCTCATGCTTGTCTCGGGTGTTCGTACTCGGCCTTTTTGAGCCCAAGATTCGGCCCCGGATCCTTCAGAAACACTCGTTGTACTTGTAGCGTTTTCTCCCCTGCAGGCCACCCACGTCAGCTTCCCTGCAGTAAGAGGTTTCGGCGACATTAGAGATTCTTTCAGTATCATTCTTCCTTGCCTTGCTAGTTGTTGAACCCTTTGCCACAACCTGCAGGAACTGTGTATCGCGAATCTGTGGAGGTACCTGGCGCACTTGCATGACCCAGCAGGGGAAACGGTTGCTCCACGGCCGTTTGCATGGGGCAGCAGCCCCAGCAGTCGTGACTTACGTCCGCACGGTGCGAAGTCGGGAAAGCGGCCTCCGTGAGCTGAGTGTTTTGTTTGTAGTTCTCTCTGCAGACCATGAGAATGGATTGGCGGTGAGTTCAGCGCCCTGCCGCTGCAGACTTCGATCACTTCGAGCCCTCAGCCCGTGCTCTGAAGGACCGGGCAAGTGAAGTCTGAAGTCGAAGCGTGCATTCAGCGTGAGAGAATGTGAGAGATGATGCTGCGCTACAGGACAGAGTCTATGCCGAATGTGCTAGACTTCATCCAGAAATTGTGTTGACCTCGGTTTGAGGGAGCTTGCCCCATAACTCAGTGATGTGAGCTTTCGCGAGGTCGTGAGGGACAAGGAGTGGCTCTCCGCCCGTGGGTTCCTGCCACAGGGTGTGCCGGACAGTTAAGCTGTCTACCTTGCACGGCATACAGTGCTTTGCATTCCAGTGCCAGGGACCGCTCCCGTGGGTCCACCACCTTCGCGTGCTCCAAGGACACATCCATGTCAGCTGCTTTCAAAGGTTACTTGTCGCCGACTGGAACCGCAGAGTTACAGTTTTGAGTCATGTTGTATCAGTCGGAAAAGGGTGGCAAACGGCAAGCAAGGTGTAGACACAGGTCCTTCGAGGCTTCGAGGTGACGAGAGCTCGGTGTGCATTGCTTCATGGCAGGCCTCAAGCCGTCGCCCGGCCCACAGTTGGAGACGGAGCTGTGCAGAGACATCGGAAGCCGGATTTCAGCAGCTCGCAGCCGAGGTCACAAGCATTTAAGCTCTCGGGCAAGCTTGGTGATGAGCCAGAGTTCAAATCGGGTTTCAGCTTCTTGGGCTGAAGCCATGTCAGAATCACAGCCTGATAACGAAGCCGGGTGAGAAGCTGTGACATGAGCTAGATATCGTCAGAAAGCGTGGGCCCGACCAGCAGTCTCTCCCTGTGTGAGCACTGGAGAAGTGATGTCACTGTCAATGCTATGTGAAAGCTTTGTAAATTTCAGTTAGCCTCCATTAGTTCAGACTGTGGCCGGAAGCGACAGATGGCCACCAGCGCTGCCAGGAACTCCGGTCAATTCGAACTGGCCATATCCTTCGCTGCAGGAACGGCATCTTACTGTCCGAAGGATTTCCTTCGCAAGCAGCAAGCCTCGAACACAGTGCGTTCCTTTGCGAAGGGATGGGGGTACCGGTGCATATGCAGAGCACGCGGAGACCCCCATGGCCACGCATTTCCAGTCGAGAAGCCCAACAAACGGAACCTATTCGCCGCACCTTTTCGTCGAATGTTTCAACGCTTCTGACTGGCTGCCGAGCCACTCACCGTGGAGGATAGGAATTCAGTCTGTACGTAAACACAACTGCGAACACCTGGTACAAGTAGAGTGCCACTCAGTACTTATCCCCACGGTCCGCAGAGTTGTTTTTGCTTCGAGTGAGTGCCTGGTGCTGTCGCCACACTCTCAGCTTGGGCAAACCGAAGTCCTCGAGTGTAGCTTCTTCGGCTGCCTTAGATTGGGGTATGCTTGTACCCGATGAATTCCTGCATGCGCACTGCCAAAAAGACATTACACATGGCCATGAGGAGTTGGGAGATCTAACACGGACGAATGCGGGTAATGCCTTAATTCGCCACGAAGCACTGCTGCTTGGAGTGGTGGCAAAAGAAGACGTCGGACCACCGCTGCATCAGGCAACTGTTCTTTACATCGTCATCGAAGAGTCTTCAACTGTGCAAAGGTGTTTGGCCGTGCCCTGGCTGGATGCCCATTGTCTGCAGCTGACTTATCCCACAGATCGTTGAGAGATGAGATTGCCGGCCTGCCGTCTGCGTGACATGTGTCGTTTGCAACGTATTCCAAACTCAAGTGATGCAATGTCGTTTGAGGCCATACTTCGTTGTGAGTTCTGCGACGCATCCACGTTCACGTGGCGGCCTCTGATGTTGGCACAGGTTGGTGCCACGTGCCTTTCACATCCAAAGGTTTCGGAATTTCTTAGATCTGGAACCAAAGACTTGGTGCTCGTTGGTGGCTGGCGGTAGTTGCAGTGAGGCTGCGCTGGCTCACTCAGGCCGACGCTTTTGCTGAACACACTTTTGTTGCGCTACATTCACTACATCATCACATCGGTTTCTTTGACTTGCCCCTCGAGTGCAGGTTGCAGCTGGGGCCTCCGGCCTTGTTCAAGTTGGTCATGGCAACGTCTTTTGGGTTCCCGAGGCGAACTTAGTGCCGGGCTGGTGTCACTCATAATGCGCCAAACTGTGTTAACGGTACGGCCATGGGCCATGCCGCATGCTCCGGACTCCGCAGGCCGCCAAAGGTCGAACTCTGCATGTGGAGGCTGAACCTCACCCAAGCGTTCCCAGCACATCGTGATGGCCTTAAAACCCCAGAACAGGGGTGCTGCAAATTGGTCTTTAAGAGACTTCTGGCTGCCAGACAGCAAAGTGTGTCAAAGCGTTGTGAGGCGCTCCAAAGGTTCTGTGCGCGTTGGTGTTGTGGAGGAGGTCGCAGGGATGCAAAGGGTGGAAAACTTGCACAGTACTCGAAAAAATTCGGCCTGCAGGTGCCTCGAGGATGGCCCGAACAAAGAGTTCAGGCCTTTGGTAAGCGAGCAGCCAACCCCTCCACCATCCGAGTTGTTCGCGCCTCAAAATGTACCGATAATTCGTGTGGATCGTCTCTTTGTCGTGTCTTGAGCGAGGTCAGTTTCAACATTCTCGCTGTGCCCTATGCCAGAACGCAGCTGGCCACACAAATAATGTCCCCTTCCCTTGCAGCTCCGCTGATTTTGCCATACCGTCAGCTGAGTGTTTATCTGTGGAAGGTACCCCTACTGCCCATCGCAGATCCTGGACTACGCTTATCGACAACCTTTGCTAGGTGGGCGGTAGGTGCCAGGGCTTCATGGTTGGCATCTTCTGCAGCCAAGGCAGAGAAATCCAGCGGTTGGACGGAGATATCGTCTTCCTGCAGGAGCACTACTCGTTTCTCGGGGCAACTCACTCCTCTTGTAGCTTCTTGCAAGGAGTGCACGTATTTCACCTACCTGAAATTCTTTCAGCCTTTGTTCGGCGAGAGGCCCGCGACGGTGCTCGTTCGGAAGCTCTTGCTGTGGCTTAGTCCAGGTACCACCTCCGCTGCTCCCTCAAAGCAAGCCACGTCTCTGAGGGTTGCTTGGTAATGGTCCGCACGGAGTCGTTTGAGGCCAGTCGGAAGCGCAACTTCTTTTCAGCAATGTGACCAGCGTCTGCTGCACCATGTAGAGTTCGGTCTCTGACATTGTCTCAAGCTTTATCATCCTTTATGCAAGGCTTGGGCAGACGAACTTGAACCAGGTGTTTGTTGCAGTCATTATCAGTCCATAAATCGGTGACAAGACTTCTAGCTGCTAGAACCTCGTTCTAGCTTCATTTTACCTTGTCTTTGGCTTTATTTTACATTTTTTTTCAATTGGGGTGTTCGGGCCGTCTCCATCGGATCGGTCCTTTTAATTCTGGCAGAAGGCCTCAAGTGACGGGCTTTGAAGCCGAGCTCGCGACATGGCGTGGTTGCTTCGCTAGACTGATGCTGCGGGCATGGCCTTTGATGTTCGGCTGCCCTGGCTTACCCATCACACCAAGTCCTCTCTGGACTCATGTAGTCTCTCTGCATCTGGTGTGGATTCCGACCCTTCTGAAGCCAGTTGCGCGAGGCGAATCCCAAGAGCACCCTGAGGTCTTCACCCCCGAAGATTTTCCTTGCAGCGAGCGAGATGTGAAGATATGGGAGGGCATCAAGGGAGTGATGCGGGAGATGATGTCTCGATATTCTGGCCGCTTGAGCTTCGTGAACATGGAGGCTGATGTGCCCTTTGTGAAGTCTGTGCAAAGCCAAGTAAGCGAGCTGCTGCTTCCGGGGCAAGTATTCGATCCGGAGATACGGCTCCCTTGGAGGGAGGGGCTTGAGTGGACCACCTGTCACTCAGGAGTACTTGCAGTGAGACTGCTCTTTGTTGCAACGAAGCAACTGGGCCGGCCTGGGGACGTGCCTGACTTGGCCACAACTCTGGTAGCCTCTGCTCTAATGGCACCATGGATCAGCATCCTTCAGAGTGGCTGGCCGATTTTCAACCTCTTGGCGATGCTGTCCAGATGGGCTTCGCCGTTTCTGGATGGGCCAGGAGCACTACTGACATCTCATGGCAGATCAGCTCGACAAAAGGCGATTACTCTGCAGTCTCGCTGCGATGCCGGAGAAGTGGGTGCAACGAAACAGGCTCGGCAACTCATTGGAGGGCTGTGGAGACATCTTGATCCAGATGCTTGGAGGGGAAATGAGAGCGTGCAAGCAAAGCCCATGGAAGAAGCATTGGCTCGATTGGCGGCCAACTTGCAGACGTATCACATCCCCTCTGCAGTTCGTGGCCAAAGTTGCTACTGGACGCACCATCCAACAACTGTCGCACACCAGGCTTCGGATGCCTTAAGGCAGTTCGCCGCTTCAGCGGCTTATTCACAGATTTTGGCCTCTTGTGCTAAGTCGCCCGATTGTGTCGGTGCCAGAATGGACACAGATCCCACGCTCCTTTCGGAGCTGCCGATTTCGCTTTCATCCGAATCCGGCCCGTCCTTCCTACTCTGGTGTTCCCCGATGCTGAAGAGCTCCAGCTCAGAAGATGGGACTGTCTTGCGATGCCCGCTCTCAAGAGCAGTGGGCTTGCTGACCACGGCTTACAGGCGCTTCAGTGAACCAGCGGCAAGTAAGTAGAGTGACAAGCGGACGTGAGGGCTTTTGTGCGTCCTCCTCCGTTACTTTTTGTTTTTTCATTTCTCTCTCTTTTTCTCTCCCTCCCTCTCCGTCTCTCTTTTGTCTCGAAACGTACAAAACATGTTCCACAAGGACTGTTCCAATGTATGTGTATACAAGATACCGCGTAAACGCTCATAATCCCCTCCTCATGATTAAGATTCATCGTATGGGTGGTTCATGGAGGTGCAGGGATGCACCACGGTACTCCGATTCCAACCTTGACATACAACTCCAACGTTCTGGCATCCATGGCTGGGTGGCAGCAAATCTCCCAACTTTTGGAAGTTCGGCTGTAGTCTTGGGAATACAGGGGTTCGTCAGTTCCAGGATTGACCTTATTGGAGTTTAGAGCAACATTACAGTCTTTGGTGAGGTTCAGGACACGAAACGGGCAAACATTGTTTTGTGAGTGTAAGGGTTGAAAGTTTGAAGGTTTTGGAGTGCAGTGTTTCGTGAGTTTCAGGACACGAAGCCCTGGCATGCTCAAACAATTCCAAATTGGTTGTTTTCGCCCGCACCCCCTCGCAATGGATGCTAGAAGTTTGGAGTTTGGATGTGTTTGGGTCTGGTCATTCCCTTTCTCATCTTCCTAGTCCTAGTATGTCTCCATTGTGCAAATCAGAACCAAAGCCTGGCCCTGCACTGCCACTGAACGTCCTGATTGAGAACCTGGCCAGCCAAAGCTAGCTCATCATTTGGACTCGTCCTTCTGTCGTACATTCTCATAACCTGAGCCACTGACACTGCCCTTGCTGCCAGTCACAACTAGAGCTGCTGTAGTATGAACCTTACAACTCAAGACAAATGCTATCCCATCATCGGGACCAATCCTGAGCTCCCGTGCTTCCTTGTCTGGTTTTACGGGTAGCACTATTGTAGACATCACACCCATGACCTTGCTTGTATGTTCCAACGTTCTGCTGGGCGAGGGCCCGCATGCAAAGTTCACAAGATAAGGTGGCTGGTGACAATAAATTGACACCGGACCAAACTAAACCACGAGCAAACACGAGGCTTTACCAGCGCAGCGACAAATTTGCCAGACCTTCTGGCTCTTTATTTTCGCATTGTCCAACACATACACTGATGATGATGATAATGATGATGATGATACACATATATGTACACACATAGAATCATTTATATATACACATGTATGTACGCGTATATGCACATATGTTTATATGCACATACATCACATGTTTATGAACATGCAGTTACGGGGTCGAAGTCGGCCGCTGCGTTTTGCATATTTTAGGAATATGCTGACAATTGTGTGCGTGTGTATGTGCGGGTGTGTGTGTGTGCGTATGTGTATGTGGGTTATAAGGAATTCAATGAGAAAAACTGCGATTCTTCGATCTGATACGGCAGCGTCAGATACGCAAGTTTCATTGTCATGTGCATGCGAACAACGAGAACTACGACATAATACCATACGGCAGTGAATATATTTTGGCGGTGGCAATTCTTTCTCACGCGGTATGTGGCTCGGAGATGCTAGCACGGCATTTAATCACAACAGAAAAATTTCAGAATTTCTGATGACTGTACAGTTGTGATATGCCCATAATCAAAAGACTGCGGAGCCTTGGCCTTTAAAATATTTCTTGCTCGGTACTCGTTCACAAGCACACGCCACTTGGTACGGTCCGAGTGTGTGGGCAGTCGTCCGGCATTTCGGGCCCTGATCCATCTTTTGATGAGAGACCACTTGGATTCGATGGGATTTGTGGTGAAACCGTTGCTGTTCTTTAGCTTACCTCTGCTATGGTTTACGATTTCGTGTTTCACGTCTGATGAAGACAAACTGTGCTCACGCCTAAACGATTTCATTGCAGAGACTGTTGCCTGCCACTTGTCACTCACGAAGATATCGTTCTTCTTGAGGTTGATCATGCCCAAATTTTTGATCATCTCCTTATGCCCTCGTGGTTTTCCGTCGTAAGCATCCGCGGGATGTTCGAGAATGCGAAAGATGAAATGTGTGTTCACATGTCCTTGTAGTACAGCACCCCAAAGCCATATATGATCGCGCTGAGGGCGTCCATATTTGGCGAGTATACTAGGCTTTCTTTTGTTGAGGTGAGTTTCATCAGCGATGAGGATCCTGCCTTTAGCCTTTGTTTTCGAAATGGTTTTGGTCACGCTGGGCTTCTTGTATATCGCCGAACTGGATGAGGGACGCTTCTTTTTCGAATTAGATCTGGTAGTGGCTGAATTGCTTGTTGACGTCTTTCCCAATCCTCGAAAGATAGGACCATCCAAACCGAAATTGAGCTGATTCTCAAACCAGTTGCTGATAGCCTCTCGGAACTCCATCAACCAAGGATCCATGCGTCTATGGCCGAGTGGATGTAGCTCGCGAAGCATGAGTTGACGCGGGTACTCGTGGATCCACATAATGAAACAGCCGAGCTTAGGCATCCAAAGTTCAGGTTTCATATCTGTGCAGATATGAATCACTGGAAAATAGAACTAGGCTTGAGTACGGAACGCTGCGAATGATAAACTGTATACGACATGAGTGAGACCAGTGATGCATGAGCGATATATGTGATGCAGCACACGACTGACACGCATCGGCTTCTTTTGGAACGCGCAGCGGTTCATTGAACTGTCTGTCACGTAGCCAATCTATATCAAAGTGTCGAAAACAAAAAAACCAAAACCACCAAAGCCAAAGAAAACAAAACCAAAAAACCAAAAAAACAAAACAAAAAAAACAAAAACCAAAACAACCAAAAAAACAATTCTTTCAGAACTCTCCCATTTGTGTATATTTCTAATGTTATTCTGGAAGAGCACTGAAATAATGTTTTTTTGTTGGTTTTGGTTGTTTTGTTTTTTTTGGTTTTGGTTTGGGTTTTATAGGCTTGTTAAAGGAATGGGGCTGGTGTTTCTTAGGGTTTGAATTACGGCAACGCCCCTCAGCGCCAGAGTTGATAGTGATGTCGTGGAGGAGGCGGACCTGAACTGCGCAAAACGCAGTTGCAGAGTTCGGCCCCGAACCAAAAATACATACAAATCCACGTACATGTGTAATGTAGAATACCTGTATATATATATATATGTATGTACATATGTACCCCACACACACACACACACACACACGCGCACAGAGGCATGCAGACTCCCTCCCTGCTCCCGTCCCTCCCTCCCTCGCTCCCTCCCTCCCTCCATCCTCCCCTCTGTCTCTTGTGCCGTTTCCTCTCTCAGCCTCCCTCAGCCGGGTTGTTGCAGATCTCAGGCGAGAGTCGCGAGAGCTTCACGCCGGAGCTTGTCATAGAAGCGCAGGCTGAGGCAATGCTCTGAAGCACGGAGTCGAACGAGACTCTTGTCGTCCCACAGCAGGTTCTGACCGTTGCCAAGCAGATCGGCGATGTGGTCATCGGCATGGAGGAGTGACGACAGAA